GACCTCACCTATCACTATCTCGTTGCCTGCCCTGGCCCCACCTCTCCCACGGTGGTGGCAGTCGATTATTGTTTACTGTCCTGTTTCGTTATGCAGTAGATCATTGCAAACACTATTTTACAATTTTGTCAATACCCTATATTTTCACAATTTAAGTGTACTTTTTTTCCAACGGATAAATATCACACTATTCTCACAGGTACTCAATGATGTATATTTGTTTACTCACTATTCTATCCTCCTATTTCTGACATTTAAAACAAGCTTACGATTGTTTATTTGTGTGCTTTCTTGAAACGGGATGAGCAAATCAAAGTTAATTATATAAAAAACTGTACTATTTCCGCGATTATTTGCTTATTTGGCTTTTTGAACATAAACATTTTCCCAAACCAACTATCATAAACTTGAAACGCTAAGCTATATTGTAATGTTATGATTTAGTAGTTAGTGATTATATGTGGATTATTTATTGATATTTACGACTTGTGATGATAAAAAATGCTTCAAATCTCGCCTAGTACTATTCAGCTCAAATTCACTTCTGTGCCGTCGTAAGTCTGCTTATTACGCGGACCTGAAATTTCACATTTCCCCGTTTGTCGCGATCTTGAAAATTTGCACATGCATTCGCTTTTTCTGCGCGTCGAAATGGCTATTCAAAGGAAATCGCGCGTAAAAAAACGTTATATTTGTATCGCCTGGTGTTTTTTTTTTTTAGCAGAGTAGCTCTAATGTGAAGATTTCGTAACTAGCTGACAGGTGGTCATCGTGATTAGCAGTCGGTGTTTACAAGCATAATTAGTGCAAAGTAATGGCGCCTTAACACGAATGAAATGGCCCACGTAATTAGCTAAGTGGTTAGTGTTGCGCGAATCACACACCTCTCGCGTGCGTAATGCAGGAAGGTGCCGTGTTCGGCCGTTAATCATGAGATGTATATATATATATAACATATAATAACATTGCTGCGCTTCCGACAAACGTCGTTGTCACACTGGTGACAGTTGGTGAAAACTCCGGCGGGCCAACTATAGCGTCAAAACGTTTAACTCGTGTTTTAATTCCTCAGGCGAGCATTCACACACAGGTCATCGTCATTAATTCTGACATAGGCCTACGCTGAGTACTTTCGTGTGACCTAGATAGGCGTCGGAGTGTATTACAGCTTGTCTGTAGTGTTGCTTGTTACCAAGAGTTGTTACCTATACAACAACAATTAATTTGCACGAGATTGTTTATACGCAGTGGGGGTGCGTGCATGTATGTGCACGTGCGTGCGAGGGTGCGCGTGCTGGTGTTTATTTGTGTATGCGCGTCTTCGATTCGTCCGTGGGTGAGCGTGCGCGTGTGTTGGGTGTGCACACGCGTGTGTGTATGGGCGCGCTTCTGTTTATTTGTGTGTTTCCAAGCGCACGGCTCCCCTTCTCTCTCCCTCCCCTTTCTCTCCCTCCCCTCTTTCCCTCCCCCTCCCCTTCTCTCATATAGACGTACACACACGCCCCTCCCCCCCCCACACACACCGGCTAGACAATAAGTCAGTGGCAGTGTCATAAAATGATCACTCGGTGGTTAAGTATCGCAACGCTGTTTTTTTATTGCACGCACGCTCGCCCTCGATTTACGGGCTCACTTTTCTCTTTACTCGAAGATGGTTGCGCTCAGATAAAGATTTGCTGTGCGCATTTCGTGTTGATGATGAGTGGCTCCTAATATATTGGGTGTCTGTCTGCTCATGCGGGGACCGGCTGGTCCGTGGTACCGTGATGTTCCTTGTGCGCTCGCTATTCGCTTCCGTAATCACGCACCGCGACGCATGACCGGCGGCTGTTCGAACCCGTTTCCTTCCTTGTCCACTAATACAGTTTCAGTAGCACACAGTCGGTATCGCTTGAACACGAATGTGACAATTGTCACCGCGCGTCAAGGACAACACCGACCTTCCTGACCCAGTCTCGGCTAGGTTGTTTCTGGTTGTCGTTCATCGCTCGTTACGTCTCCGCATTTCCGTCCCCGTTACAGATTGCCGGACATGTTTAAGCCACATACATTGAAATGCAGGTTAGACAGGTCACGTTTGGTCTCCTTTGTTGGGTTACTCATTTTTGCAACCTCTGTATATGAACCTCTGAAACTCCCTAGCTTCAATGAAATACTACGTAAGAAATACGTAGCACATGCACATGCACATTTCATGTACACAAACATGCACATGTTTAAACATTTCTCATTTTTAATCTCGGTGTGAAATCAAGTGGTTTTTTAATTAATTTTTTTTTCTTTTAACGAGGTGCATACCAGCTCTTAGATACTTTGTATGTGTGCGTGAGATCGCGTGTATATAGTGCTATTTCATAATGAGAGTGAATCATTACTAATAATTACACAACACGACCTACGTTACCAGTCAAACGAACACGCAGACCTAAAGGCCGCCGCACACCAGCCGATTTTTACAAACGATGAAGCGATGAAGCGATGAAGCGATAAAGGGGTGCGCGCTCATTTGTAGACGATTTTATTTTTATCGGGTGATCGTTCCAAATCAAACATGTTTGATTTTGAACCGATGAGCCGATGAGCCGATTTTAAGGCCGCCGCACACCTACATCGCTTCATCGCTTCATCGCTTCATCGCTTCATCGCTTCATCGCTGCATTGCTTCATCGCTTCATCGCTTCATCGCTTCATCGCTTCATCGCTTCATCGTTTGTAAAATCGGCTGGTGTGCGGCGGCCTTAAGGTATCAATCTGATTTGCCGAATCGCAAAATAGCACATGCACAATTTCACACGTATAACTTATTTTCCGTGACAGCTAGCTAGCTCGTATGTTAATGTAAAACTTGTTTTCCTCGCCCGCTACGATGCGGTATTCCCTGTTGTTAATAAGCGCCTTTATTCCGAACAAACGAAGTCCCTTTACTCGTGTCTACGTACGAAGTCTTTTACTCCTGGATTAAAACAGAAGCTGGCCTAATATCAGCAAATACTCCCACGCGCTCTTTCTTGCGTTCTTTTTTTATATTTAACTAAGCCTAATTTATTGTTTGTTTTGATAGATTACCATTCACGCGTGTTTGTCATGCGATGACTCTCCACCTGCTCACGCTCGTGCGTGCACACTTATCTCGCTGTCGAATCACTGCGTTGCTAGCAGTTCCAGTCACCGCCCACCCACAAACCTTAACCTAGATGCCTTGATCTAGTGTTAGTGTACCGACTACTGACAACTGCCTATTTTCAGTCACTTGGCTCATAGGCAGTTACATTACGAGTCGCGGCATGTGTAATCACGCTCGTTTCTCGTTGCTCGTGTGTAGACGTCCGCGTTGCCGCGCGGCCATTTTATTATTGCAATCATGGGCGTACTAATTGAGAAATACTAGAGGGTTATTTGTAAAAGCTGTGTTATGATTCGGTACAGAATATGCATGCGTATGTGCATGTGTACGTGTACGTGTATATGTGTGTACGCGTGTGTACGTGTGTATGTGTGTACGTGTGTGTACGTGTACGTGTATATGTATCATGTACATGTGTATTTGTATTTATATTATTATTTGTATATATATCTGTCCACGATAAATATTATATTCGTTTTGCTTTATCAATTCACATTCAGATATCTTTCTATTGACACGCGAGAATTAATTTATGCGTTGGGGTTCTTTCATTTATTCGTTGAATATGCCTTTTTTACTCATCTTACGGCAAATTGTAAACCACGTGAGAAGTCGCCATATCGTCATGACAAAAACTCCGGAGAAACCCTATTGTTTTTTAATTAACGTGATATTTGTCGATCATCATCGGTAATGTCAGCACATTAAGCTAAATTGAAATCTCGAGGAAAGGTTGCACTATTATATAAACACATATTTATACATGATTAAAGGAAAACAATGTATTCGATTCAAAGGTATTATACTATTGGATTTATTGTATGGTCTCATTTGATTGGTTGTGGCATATGTCTTCATTAATATAAGATCTTACCCGTAATAATGGTGACGGATTACTTTGCCCCCCCACACACACACCACGCACGCGCACGCACGCACGCGCACGCACGCGCACACACGCGCGCACGCACGCACGCACGCACGCACACACATTTTAAAAACAAATTTAATGTGATGAGTTACCAAATATACACGTATCTGTGCTTACAGCAAGAGCAACCCCAATTAGATTGGCTATATTAGCCATGCATGATTATTCAGAAACAGGTAGAGAAATTTATTATACATCAAACTCCCACGAATACGTTAATCTGTTGTATGATTTAATCAATATATATGTTAATACGGTGTCAATAAAATGAACTTGGCAGCACATAAATTTCCCAAAATGACGTTCAATGCGATTATATTTTAAGCCAGGCGCAGCTGCGTCATGTCCAGACCGGGTTGCGACCGTGGAATTTCGTTTACCCTGGAACACCATTGAGTCATCTTACCCTAGTAAGTCCGCGGGGTTCCTTTTATCCCATTGTCCTAGCAAAGAATATGCTAGCTTCTCCTATGGTATAACCATGGACCGAGTCTGACACGCACTGGTATATAATAGGGGTTTCGTACTGGTATATAATAGGGGTTTCGTACTGGTATAAACGTGTTGTTTATACCACCGTGGTGTAGTCTTTCATCCGAGCTTTATGAACCCGTTGGGTCTCTCCTATCCTGCCATATCGTATGCGCTTATGATACCCTGGTGTAACTATGAGGACTCGCCTATCTTATCATAAGCATTTGGGTTCATCCTCCCACCTATACGTCGACTATAAGTGCCTAACTACCCTGCTGTGGGCCGAGGTTTTGTCCTACACCCTTACGATCAATGTATATGGACGTGAGCAAGATGAGAATGTAGGAGGCGAGCATGAGCGGTGTGTTGGCACACTCGGAGAACTGGATCTGGTACGGAAGATTCGAGGAAGAAGGAGTTTCTACAAAAGTCAGTCAGCGGAACGCTGACCCACCGGCGGTACAAGCCGCATAGGAAGGCACGCGTGAACGACGATTAGTAGTATAAAGTAGTACGTTGTTGTGGCATTTACTCACTGCACTGTCATCCTTGCTGAGATACAGATCGCCAGTTACGATAATACAGGTGCGTTGGACTTATATATCCGCAGTGAAGTACGCGCATGTAATGGCGCTGTTACGAGCTCTCTTATTGCAATCATATATGCGCCAATTACCGTATTATCATTCATGAGCATGCACAGTTTGCACACCATAGGCACACACGCATTATGCACGTATGCAACTACCGCAGTTAGAGGAAATCGGAGGGCCATGAAATCGAGTTTGCTATTGCTGGATATACTTACGTGTCGCACATATTAGACACGAGTTAATGTGGCGTTTTGGTGTTTTTATTGCAGACGCATGACCAACATAAGGGGTGATTTACGGATTTTCACGAGTAAACATTTACCCAGTTTGTCTGTGACGCACGGCAGGCACATAACGCGTAGTAAGGATCTGGATTCTTCTTCTGATTTCTATCTTCATCTTTGGATATGCATCGTCGACGCATGTTCAATGAGTGAACGACGTAAAGAATCGCCGTATATTAATGCAGTGAGTTCTTGCACTTCCTAAACGTGAAACATGATGACAACGACCGGTAGTACTGTTTGCCTTCCCTTGCAAGTGACCGATGTGGAACCAGAGCTGCTTTCGGGGTTCCCGCACAGCAAGCGCGTGGGCTGTTACATGTTAGGACGGACTATTGGCAAGGGTTCCTTTGCCAAGGTGAAAGAAGCGCTTCACACTCTTACCGGAGAGAAGGTGAGTTGATAATTCCCACCGTACCAAGTGAGTCAAGCGTATATATGTGGGTTTACATATCTTGTTTAGTTGTACATACGTGTGTGTGTCACAATACCACTATGAGTAGTCTTTGTAGTGTTATCAAATAATTAGGTTTGAAATAGTGATGAATGTTATCGCAGGGACTGGTACGCGTTGCAGCGTCTGGTTTGTCATGTTATTTAAATTAAAATGTGGGAACATTCGAAAAGAAAGATTTTGGTAGCAACAACTTATTGAAATGTGGTATATGAGTATAATAAATGTGTTCAGGTAGTAGCATTTTAATGTAAGCACAACCTTGCGAGTTCGCAGCAACACCAGACCCTACTCAGTAAATGCTGCTCGATCAGTGGTAACAAAAAAGTGAAACACCAATGTTTCATTCTTTGCGCTCTGAGTTACTATACTGCATTTACCGGACATTTTATCACAACGCGGAAAACTCTCAGAAGCAGTCAGTGCCGCCGTACCTTATGAATGTATATTATGAATGAATAGGCGTTTCCTACATTGAAATTGAATCAACGAATTCCATCGGCTTCGTTTTTGAACCCCGAAAATAATTTTCGAATAATGTTTAGGCCTACGGATACGTTTGACAAACTACAGCCTTTCTAGTTCATCGATAGTCTATATGGAGGGGCGGTGGTATATATTTAAGGCGATTTGTTGTTTGTTTGATTGTTAAATGAAGGTGTCGCTCTATGAACAACTATGTGCTTACGTCATCGATGTGTCAGATAATGATTTTTCCTTTTGTCATAAAAGAATTTAGCATGGCATTGTGAGAGCATTTTAGAAAGAATTATTTTTAGATTATGTAATGTTCACAGAGATCATGACTAACGTTTTAACTAGTGTGAAGTATTTTTCTTCGTGAAGAGCTAGGTGTAAAAACATTTATTGAAAATTATATCCTCACTGATAAAAAGGTGTGAACCTACCACGTTTTCCAGCAGGTGCGTAAATACATACACTGTCAACTACAGATAATATTATTCAGCTAATATAAGCACTATACATGTCGTGCGTCGGTTGTAAGACTCTGGATTAGTCGTGCTAGCTCGATCAGTATATATGGTAATAAAGGGAGCATGTATCTCTTCTTACCTATGAAATCAATAGCACTTGAACTATTGCAAGAAATTCCGAAAAACTAGAGCTTCTCGATGAATTATCATCACAATGAGAATAAACCGAAATTAAAGAACACGTGAAAGCATTTTTGAGGAAAATGTCAAACACTTTTTACCTATATAGGTGGCCGTGAAAGTCGTCAGCAAAAAGAAAGCAAATGAGGATGCTTATGTGACTAGAAATCTGCGCAGAGAAGGGAAGCTATTGCAGTTAGCTCGCCATCCCAACATTATACAGATCTATGAAGTTATGGAAACCGAAAACAGCTACTACCTCGTAACCGATATGTGCACAGGTATACGGGCAGCCGTGATATAGTATACCAAAAACTATAATGGTAAAAATATGGACATATATACATAGAAGGCATAAAATAAACACATCGTCAGTATGGTGCACACTCTAATGTTTTGTAAATACTATATGCAGGGGGCAACATGATGGACTATATATGCAAAAATAAGAAGCTGGAAGAGCAAGAGGTGCGTCACTTTATCCGCCAGATGATCAGCGCAGTTGATCATTTGCACCGCCATGGCATTATACACAGGTAACATACTAGGCAGTAATATATATATATATATATATATATATATATATATATGTATAACATAAAACATGTATGTATGTATGTGCGTATGTGGTGTGTGTGTGTGTGCGTGCGTGCGTGCGTGCGTGCGTGTGTGTGCGTGCGTGCGTGCGTGCGTACGTGTGTACGTATATAAGTAACGATGATCAGATCGGCTGGTTTTTGTAGAGCAGGTACGCACGTTTATGTGTAAAATACTGCCAATAATACGTATTGCTGATTCTTGGCCAAATTGAGGCAACTTCGCGTGTATTAATATCGATTAGTGTCATTTCGTCCGTCAATGACGTTTTCCTACTGGATAAAATTATCTTCCGGTGTTTTGTGGATATTATATCAATAATCGCCTAGGCAAGGCAAAGTAACTTGCTAAAAAGAATCAAATATATATACATGTATATATATATATATATATATATATATATATATGTTTAGGGGATATTTTGTGAATTTTGATAGCAGATTTTATCAAAATAAAATGAAACAATAACATACAATACAATCAAATTTGAGAGTTGTGCTTTCAAATTGTGATATATTTTGGTCGCACTACACAGTTACATTCACGCACTACTGTGTCTATGCAGGTCCTTCCTCCTCTATCTATCTAGCGCATACAATATTACTGATGTTATGTTCTGCACAAGTAGCTGTACAAAGAATCCCGTTCTGCATCGCGCATACACAGCTAACCACGCTGTCCACGCGGCCGGCTTAATCCTTAAGTGTTCACGTTTTCGCGAAAAAAGGCTTCACCTCGCGGTACAATTACATCGCGGACGCTCTACTCACACGCTATATATGATTCTTTTTTGTTTAGAGACCTAAAAGTGGAGAACTTGCTTCTGGATGAAAACAGGGACATAAAAATCATTGGTAAGTGGTTGTAATCGCGATGCAACACGGCTAACACAGACACGTGATGCTGGCTAATATTGTAGATATGACAGTGCTAAAATAATAACTTTAACACGAATTGAGCTATATAGAAGTATATAAGGGTAGGGTTCTACCTTAGGAAACACCCAACTATTGGCGTACATATCGCATGTATTCGTGATGGGCTACGAATACACTGAGACGTATGTATAGCATTCGGTGATCACGATCGTATATTCTTTCAAATATTCAAGCCGACACTGGCTAACTAATCAATTTTCCCCAGTCGTAAGGACGAGTAAAGACAATGCATCTAGCATGTCATAATTATGGCAATCCTATTCCCTTTAACGCTTGTGTCGCGCTATCATGGACGATTCTAGATTTCGGACTGAGCAACACACTGAAGGTGTCGACGGGCGAGGACGGGCAAACGATAGTGCAGGAGTTCTGCATCACACAGTGCGGCAGCCCTGCCTACGCCGCACCTGAGCTGCTGGGTCATAGAAAGTACGGTACCAAGGTCGACGTATGGAGCATGTAAGTGACTGATTTTGCACTGCGAACATATACTTCCAGTTTGCCCCTGTGCAGTCAATGCAGCATTATTAATTAATCGAATAGAGCTAATAATACCTTATTTATTATTAGCTCTAGGTAATATTGGCTATTGATAGAATAGCATCGAATACAATTACCACTGAGATATATATATATATATATATATATATATATATATATATATATATATACTACGGAGAATCGACATGCGTGACATTTCCATCGTGGCGATTTAATGTTTGTTTACGACGGGCAGCGAGTTAGTTAATGTACGCCGTACGTATGCATTCACGCATTCAGACACACACACACACACACACACACACACACACACACACACACACACACACACACACACACACACGGTGCGAACTCCCTGCGCGTCCGAGATTTATGCACGTATACGCGCGAATCCACTCACGCTCACACAGCGCAGCATTCTGGATCACGCTTGCGAAAGCACACAGACCGACGCGTAGACGCGCACACGTTCGCGTACGATCGAACCATAGAAATGACATAGATAGACTTATAGTAGTGTGTTCAAGAGGGCCAGGACACACATTACTCTCTGTTGGACAAATATATCGTTGTATCGATGTAAGTACATGCCGCGTGGTAACATCTGTTCCAGCACCAGTCATGGACCGACTTTATTCAAACTCACATTTCATTAAATCAATGAAGGGCCCTTAATACGGTCAATTACCTAATATTATAAAATATATAACATATAATAATGTGTATATAAATATTCTATATATTCTCGTAATTAATCCTTATATAACTGAAATGACAAGATGGCCGTTATGAATAATTGGGGTAAAAGTAAAATCGTAGGTCAGAAATCACGCAAATCCTAGAAAAAAAGCCAAGAGTGCATTGTGAGTTTACTGTGCATAATTAACGACATTTAGTATTGTGGCCAACATAAAAACCATCTGATTATTATAAACTAAATGTGTCCCGCGTAATTAAGGAGAGCTTTTATTACGCTGAGAGTCGTGAATATTTTACATCACCTTTATTGCGTATTTGCAACACCTGCCGTAGATACATGACCCTGCAAATTTAATCAACACATATGGCAGGTTGTTTCAACAGACTTGAATAGGCACACAGCTAAATTAAGCATGCGGATGCGCGAGTCTGTAGGGGTATATAATTATAGAGAACAAATACATGATTTGAAATTAAATTGGGATACTTAGTGCACAATCAATGGTATGTACATACACCCTCAAATCTAAGTTTCGTTCATGTTATCAGACATGCACGTCTTATTAAACTTCACCAAAATCGTTGGCGTTTTCTTGATAATGTACGACTCTGGTGCCAGCTGACGATGTTGCGCACATGAATGTTTATTTGGCGCTTTTCAGACCGGGCGCTAATCACAAAGATGTAATAATCTATGATAAGTAACTAACCATAAGACGTTTTGCTTGAGATAGATACGTATTCAGGCCCGTAGGCAGGTTTTTTTACGGGAGGGTGCGATCCAACGAGTATACGGACCTAACGAGCGCCGGAGGCGCCAGTCTCTAGGGGGGTCCGGGGGCATGCCCCCCCCCGGGAAATTTTGAAAATTAGGTTGTCTAAGACTGCATTCCGCGCGTTTTAAAGGAAGTATGATATGAAAACAGGCAGCCAAAAGCGAACCTCAAAACGTGGACATTTTTCAAATTTCCGCAAAAAAGTGGACCTCCGCAGCCTGTGGGGGGGGGGGCGCACCCGTCGCACCCCCTTTCCTACGAGACTGGTATTATAACTGAAACGTATAGTGAATAGTGAAATTCGATATTGCAATCATTTTTCTAAGAAAAATAGTTCACAATTTAATTTCAAGTAAAGTTTTTACCACAATTATTATTATCATTCCATGTCTCATAACTTAAAGCAAATTTAACCTAAAACCATGCATTAACCCAAGAGTATTTCTACCCTTTATATATACGTCATACACAGATGTTGACTTCGCACATTCGCAGTACGTCGATACACATGCCAGTTTTATAAATAGCACGCATCGCCAGCAGCGATCTGCGTCTGTTACTGTTAATTGGGTGATTCTCCAACTAGGGGGAAAAGTATTGCCCGAGCACTACAGTAGCATCGTGATTCATTATCTTGTCAGTTACTCAGTGACCATTGATTATAATGAGTTCCAGTTAAGAAGTCAACAACACAAGAAATGGTCTGGTTCTCATTGTGGGCAATATATTCACAATCCAAATTCAGAGGGCCATCAATTATGCATGTCCTATTCAAGGGTATCCTGAGAACTATTCAGTTTTTCTCACATTTATTAGTAATTATTTGGCTCAATTTACATTTTGCTGCCATGAGGAATATTTGAAGTATATTTTGTAAAGGTTTCAGGCATTTGGAATCCATACCTTTCCCTCAGTGGCCCAAAATAGCTTTGTCCTGAATTTCCGTCAACTCCGTTACAACTGTATAATGCTGCCATCGTTGCTATCAATTGGAACTAAAGAAGCAACCAATCAGATGCTTTGTTTCATCTATGGTTTCATAAAAGTTCTTTTCAAAATGGAGAAATAATGGACAACTGAAATTTGGAACTTTATGTGGAAAAAAGTTGAAAACAAAAGTTTATTAGCTTTATTCCCCGATCACCTGTGTTACACCTTTGATAAATAAGTAACCATAGAAACAAATAAAAATGAGTGAGATAATGAAAGCATTATATTCCCGTTTAAAAGTCACGATCGTTTCAGCACCCGGCAGTTAGATGCGATATTATATGACTACTAGGCACTTAGGATATGACTACTAGGCACTTAAAAAAAAAAAAACCCTAACCCTAACCCTAACCTAACCTAAACGCTAAACCTAACCTAAACCCTAACCCTAACCCTAAAAAAAAAAATTAAATTAAATTCAAGTGCCTAGTAGTCATATGATATCGCATCTAACTGCCGGTTGCATCGTTTCAATTCTACATGGTACCCTGGTGGGTGCACGGGCTAAAACAAGTTAAAATCATCAACTCCGTTACAGTCAACTCCGTTACAATTCGTTACATGTACGAAGTACAAGGTAATGAGTCTGCACCACCACCACCACCACTCCCGCCGTCGCCGTCGCCGCCTCCTTCTACTCCACCACTACCTCTACTATTAATTGTATCAAAAGTAAATAAAAACAAATATTTTGTTTCTATTTATTCCCGGTAATGATAGCATAACTATAATAACATTTATTACAGGAATTGTAACGCGGTTATTGCATGTTTGCAGAGGGGTGAACATGTACGCGATGCTGACAGGAAACCTGCCCTTCACCGTTAGCCCTTTCAACATTAAGACGCTTCATGCAAAGATGGTGAACAAGGAGATGAACGCAATCCCACATCACCTCAGCCAGAGTACGCGAGTCTGCTTTCATACTATGCGAATTAACAGGTTTCTTTATCCCACATACTGATGATGATCGCCATGCATTACAACATTTTAGATGCCAGCTAGCACGCGCGATATTACGGTATTTACCCAACTTGATGGCTAGTTTATATAGAAATTATCGGCAAGTGGATATAGTCCCTGAGTGGGTGAGTTCAAGCAAGAAGGTATAGTTAAATGAAAAGTTATGTGATACGTTGTGGTGACCGGATTAATATAGCAGGTAGGCCCCCCTATAGGCTCTGTTGATGACAGATACCGAAAAAAGCTGATTCGTGGATAGCGATAGGAAAATGTTTTGAAAGTAAAATTGCCAAGGGTTCTGGTTAGGTGATATAAATTTACCTGACTATATAATCATCTACGCATCTACAATTACAGAGCGTATGTAAGTGCAGTATACTCGTGAATGAATGAATGAACGAATGAATCAACCAATTAACAAATCAATGAACACACAGAGAGAGAGAGAGAGAGAGAGAGAGAGAGAGAGAGAGAGAGAGAGAGAGAGAGAGAAGGGGGGGGGGTATGGAATAAAAAATCATGCAATAAAGGGTAATTTAACTTTACGTAAAAATTACTTAGCATATATTGCAGTATAGTAGGGGGGCTTATGTCATTCTGTCCTTTTTTAAATTACTGGACCGTTGTTTTTCTTGTGCTTCAGGCATTTCTTTGTCTGAATTTTTTTTTTACAATTCTAAAGTTTTTTTCATCTAATTCGAGGCTTAGCGGTAGGACTTTGTTTAAAGTTCTGAAAGTTGATTAAAGTGGTGTTTTTAAATTTTAACTGAAAATATACGTACTGCTAACTTCCCATTTTAGTATACTTTAATAATTTGAAACTGGGGTGTCGTCCATATAGTATTTTACACGTATTTTATCCATTATAAATTATACCAATCAGATTTAATCGTCATCAAAAGTATCTTCATCGCTATCCGCATTCCCAGTATCTATGGTTTTGTGGGCTGCTCATTGTTCGAGCATCAGAGTTCCCTGGCCCAACAGAAACACAATTTTGTGCAGACAATTTCCTTTCTGCACAAGCAGGATTCTGGAATACATGGTTCCACCAACCGATGCTACACCCACCAGGTTATGTCACTGCTTCTGATGCTGGAGCTACGTCTGTTATTTTTGGAACAAACATGCCGTCTTTCTGTTCCTATCACTGGTGGTGAAAGCTATTGATTACCCACACGAGTGTAACACCAAACCATAACTTGCTAGTGGGCGTATATATATAATATAATATGTATATAAATATAAATATGTAGTGTGAGCTTCTCAGCTTCACCCTGATTTTTCGGTTATACTGAGCACGGATATAATTGGTCATTTACGTTTAAATCGTAAAATAAAATCGTAAAAATATTACATACGCCGAAACAGTTAACAATAGGAGAATGAGAATTCTCGGCGAATGTAATATTTTTACGATTATATAGCTTTGTTTACGCGGTCATTTCAGGTGGCAGAGCCTTACTATTAAAACTATTGACACCAGAGCCCGCGGAAAGAATCAGTCTCTCCGATGCCATGCGACACAAGTGGATTAATGAAAGTATGTCCACATTTTTATCTTTCTGCCTGCATGCCTGCCTGCATGGATGCTTACGTGCGTGCGTGCGTGTGTATCATATGTATGAATGAATGACCGTCCAGCCGGCTATTTCTGCGTATGCCTGTCCGCCCACATGTCCGTGCGGCCGTCCGTGCTTCTCCCCGTCCGTATATCCGTGCGTCCATCCGTTCGTATATCCGTATATCCATCCATCCGTCCGTATATCCGTGCGTCCCTCCGTTCGTATATCCGTCTATCCGTCCATATACGTCCGTATATCCGTCTATCCGTCCATACGTCCGTATATCCGTCTAAATAGTATCCGTCCATACGTCCGTATATCCATCTGTATATCCGTCCATCCGTCTGCATATCCGTCCATCCGTCTGTATATGCCCACCCCGCCCGTCTGTTTGTTTATCTGCCTGTCCGCTCAAACGTCTGTTCATCCATCCATTCATCTATTCATCAACGCATCCATCTATCATGCCATCCATCCATCCACCCACCCATCCATCCATCCATCCATCCATCCATCCATCCATCCATCCATCCATCCATCCATCCATCCATCCATCCATCCATCCACCCATCCATCCATCCATCCATCCATCCATCAAAGACGTTTTCGTGCTTTGCTTCTTCCAGGAGTACATTGTAAGGTTACTGGCAATAAGTTCACGGGGGCTGGTGGCCGGGAGTAAAAAAAGTAAATCATATCTTGTTAATAGGCAAATAGGTCTATCTTCTGGTGATATATATATAAGTTACTGATATCAACAACACGGTGAGACTAGTATTCTCTAATTGTCTAATCCTCTAATTCTAAAATTGCCGGTCCAAATTATTATAAATAGAGGAAGGCTAAATCCCATGGATTCTTTCTATGTTTTTTTATTCTGAAGATAACAAGCCCCTTCTGGAACTGCACATGTGATAAAATAGTACCTGTTAGTGACCTGTTCGAGCATTCAGAATAATAGCTCTTATTATTTCAGCATTTAATCAACCACTGAAGGCGGCGCCATTCCCAAACAAAGTCAAAACCGAGGATTTGAACTTCAGCGTTATCAAGCACATGGACGAAAACATGTCATTCGATGTTAAAGAAGTCGTCAGCCATGTTGTAAACAATCAGGCGAACTCGGGAGCACTGGCAGTTTACACGTTGCTAGTTCGGCGGTTGCAGCGATACCGTAACAGTCATAAGAGCGAGGCATCCCAAGTCTCTAACCAGGTGGCTATGAGGCACTTATGGGGGCGGTAGTGACGTAGTCTGTAGAAGTATTAGCCAATGAAGTCGCATACTTATTCATTCCAAACCAATAGCCCGTTAGTTAACTACCTTAATTCAAATAGCCATCGCTGATTAATCTCCATATATTTCCTACTGATGCTTTTACGACCAGCGCATTTTAAAGCATACTGCTCGTTTAATGATATTAACGTATATGTAGTAATGCAACACGCGGTTATTTTTGCCAAGTACATGTATAACGTTGTTTAGTTATTGTTATCATTAGGGGTTGACTACTACCATTACTGTTTCCTTCCAGAGCGTGGGTGCGTCACCATCACGCTATAACAAGTGTATGGCACCAATAGTCACGACCAAACAATCGACGACAGTGCTTAGTGGCGAGCAGAAAGCAGCATCCCCTGAAAGCATTCTGCAAACACGGGATGACCCGCATCAAGATGACAACCCACGGCCCAACGAAGAGGAGAAGGCACCACCTGAAACTTCTACTGCAGAAGGTAACATTCTACGCGACCGTGAACCACGCGCGAGCGTTCTAGCTGTTATCACTGCGCGTTGAATATGCATGGAAATATGCACGAGTATTCGTGTTTCGAGTCATCGTCCTCTCTATATCATGTATACTACCAAGAGGAAGATAGATGTGAAAATGCAACCGCGTTTTTGACGCAATTACAATTTTACAATTGTAAGTGTATTTTTACAGTGAAAGGCGGTCACGGTGATATGGAAGTAGCAGCTATGCCGGTGGGAGGCAACACGGGGATGGGAGACGTTACGATGGCAGATGGCGATGGAGACACTGGCATAGGAGACACCCTGAAAAAGGCTGACAATGGCAACAAGGCTCAAGACGAACTATCTACTGGAGCAAGCACGTGTGACTATCCTATACCAGTAACTAAACCTGCTAACGCCATTAAAGTCCCGCCGTCTTCAATCGCCGACGACCGGACAAAAAAAGCCATGGAAAAACTCAACATACTAGTGTACGGGAAGGAAAAAGAGTATTCGACAAAGCGTTCCGCAAGTTCAATGCCAAAAGGCAACACCATCATACAGAATACCTCTCTTCGCCGTGAGCTGAAGCCCGGATCTGACTTGCTGGATAATAAAATACTCACAAATTTGAAAGGTAAGGACAATGGCTACAGCGGTAAGGACAATAATGAAACCAGTGTAAATAAATTGGCATCCGTTGGCTTGCCGTGGCGTCGTAAACTCAAGCCGTCCATCCTGACGAACAACGTTAATTCTAGAGTGTATTTGTCGCGTACAAACGGCTTGGAGGTTGGTTACCTCACGAACCATTTGAAGAACTTCTATAACCGCCAACAACAGAAAAGAAAGAGCCGAACGCTGGCTAGGAATTTCAACATTAGCACAGACAAAGGCTGTAAAGTGACAGATAATCACAAGCTTCCGATGATGGTGGGAGTAAACGCCAATATGGTGGCGAAGCAAGTGATCACACGCATTGACACAAAGCGAGACAAGTCAGCTGTGGACAGATTGGAGATGACTGCAGCTCTCCGGAATGGAACTAACATTTTCCTGCAAAGCAACGATCAGACTCATGACAAAGTTGCAAAGATGCCGCCGTGGAGGGCTACGCGGGAGAAGACGGGAAAGTCAACTATAAAGAATAAGTTACAAGAGCTCGTCGACATGACGCATAAGGGCCCTGATACAGGCAAATTGTCCGGTACCTCAGACTCTAATATCCAAGCCGTAATCTTACCAATTATTAAGTAAACAGGTATTTCCGTACGAATACCTGTGCGCAAAAATATAATAGTAAAATTCCAACAAAAGTACGTTATCAGAACTTGCATGCACCAAATTGTAAATAATCAAAAGTAAAACTCAGTGCAGAATTATTGTGTGAATTGATATTGAATACACGTGTACGACTATTACGGTAAAAATGAGCAGTAGGCCTAATCTTGTTATATTCCTATGATACACATAACTATACAAACATCAGCACTATATTGAAATTATATTATATATTGAAATCAGAACCTGAAATTGCTTTATTAGAAAATGACAACCAAAATTAGCTATATGTACCTCTTTCCATATAAATAAGTTTCCTGATTAGAAGTCATCTAACAAAGAATGCTAATCATGCTAACCTATTTAGAAAAAATGTTACCTGCCTGTCACACGCCGCACCATCAAGTGCAAAATTGATTTAGCGTTAAGAAATTGTGTGCTGGTAATGTAACTATGCATGCACACACGCACGCACACAACGTAACGTATGATATCTGTATCTTTTTATGAGTCATTAATCTAGTATTTTCTTCACATGTGTAACGTGTCACACGACTTCAGATCTGATAACGTTATAGTAAAAGGCTGTTGATGCAGGACTGGGGCCTCAGCCAGAGATAAGCAGGCATCTGCAATTCTCTGTTAACGATTGGATGGGAATGCGATGTCATTGCATTTAGCATTAAAAAAGACAGGTAGCTTTATTCTATTACAGGATGACAATCGCATATAGAGCAATGGCAAACAATGCGGCCTGAACATCTCTGCTCTCTGGTCCGTTTCACTATTTCGGGGGGTTGGCTCCTGTAGTGGTCTGACAGCCGATCAGTCCGATATCCATAGAATCAAGAGTGTATAATATATAATCAGTATAATTATTATACACTTCTGATATAATCAATACTAGCTGTAACGCCGGATCAAAACACAGATATACCCAAGTACTACATGCAGATTGCGTTACTACACTACTCCAATAATTATTACTGGCTCACGTTAGATCATGTAGATGTATACATCTGGTTATATATAATCAGGAGTAAATCATCTGAGTTTTGAAATTCGTAATTATTTACTCCTGATATACTTAAAAGCAGTCTTTTACAAATATATACAATATATAAATATAAATATGTGTGTACAATATCAGAAATGCTGTTGGAAATTGTATTAAATACTGCGACAGATTACCTACTACTAGAATTTTCTGTATATTCTCTCATTTTAGTTTGGATTGTCATAGTGGACTCATCAAATCTCATCTAGAAATATTATACATGTAAAGGGCCGGGCACACTAGGCGATTAAATCGGGCGACAAAATCGCCCGATTCTATCGCGCGAGTCGAGTGGACACACTAAACGATTAAATCGGGCGATTACATCGCCAGTGAATAAGTCGTGCATGCATGTGCACGTAGACGTACGTGCGTGCGTGCGTGTGCACGTACACATGCGTGCATTCATGCGTGCGTGCGTGTGTATGTAAACGTGCGTGCATGCGTGCATGTGTGCGTTCGTGTGTGCGTGTGCACGTATACGTGCGTGCGTGCGTGCGTGCGTGCGTGCGTGCGTGCGTGCGTACACGTGCGTGCATGTGTGCGTGTGCACGTACACGTGCGTGCGTGCGTGCGTGTGTACGTACACGTGCGCGCGTGCGTGTGTACGTACACGTGCGTGCGTGCGTGTGCACTTACACGTCGGTACATGCGTGCGTGCGTGCGTGTGCACGTACACGTGCGTGCGTGCGTGTGAACGTACACGTGCGTGCCTGCGTGCGTGTGTGCGTGCGTGCGTGTGCACGTTCACCTGCGTGCGTACGTGCCTGCGTGCGTGTGCACGTTCACCTACGTGCCTGCGTGCGTGTGCAGGTACACGTTCGTGCGTGCGTGCGTGTGTGTGTGTGCAGGTACACGTGTGTGCATGTGTGCGTGCGTTCGTACGTGCGTGTGTGTGTGCAGGTACACGTGCATGCATGTGCACGTAGACGTGCGTGCGTGCGTGTGCACGTACACGTGCGTGCATGCGTGCGTGCGTGCGTGTGCACGTAGACGTGCGTGCGTGCGTGTGCACGTACACGTGCGTGCATGCGTGCGTGCGTGCGTGTGCACGTACACGTGCGTACACGTGCGTGCGTGCGTGCGTGCGTACATCACTATTACTACGCGCGCATGCGTGCTACGAGTGCGTGCACGACATACTAAACATCGCTATTACGTCAGTATCATTGAACAACTCTGATTGGCTGATGAATTGTACAATCGGGCGATTTTATCGCCGGCCCCGGACACACTAGGCGATTAAATCAGGTGACAAAATCGCCCGATAATATCAAAACGTTTTGATCTATGCGATGAAATCGGGCAACAAAATCGGGCGGCGATTGAGTGGACACACTAGGCGATTTCACGGCGATTTTGTCGCCCGATTTTATCGCCCGATTTAATCGCCTAGTGTGTCCGGCCCTTAAAGAACATATAGGCCTATAGAAATAACACAATGAAAAAATATATAATGTAAGAATGACGTCACCACTGTAAACTGGCTGTAAAGTCGTCGGGGGACATTATAACCAAAATATGAAAATACATTCGAGGGGAGAACGCATCGGCATATGTTAGTTTATCTACTAGTCTGCTATACGAGTCATGCGTGGTCATACAGGTCAAACGCCTTAGAATAAGCGACCAGTTCTGGTAAACGACTCCAGTCATTACCTAATTTTAGGGTGCCACTTTCCAGTGTAGAGAGAGAGGTGCGAGAGAGAAAGAGAAATAGAGAAAGAGAGGGAGAGGGAGAGAGAGCAGATGGAATAGGGAATGTGGTATGGATAAAGGAAAAGTAACAATAACGAAACAGAATGATCACATTCATGAACGGAAAAGTCATTAGGAACCAGTTCAAGTTGAGATGCGTTGTGAAGCCCACACATCTCCCATCTGTATCTATACCTACATACATATAATATTCGTGCTTTAAATCTGCAAGGATGGCTGTGAGCGCCATGATGATGCCAGCACTTGGTCATACATGTATGCGCAGAGTGGGTCCCGTGCTTTGCTCGAGTATAAGCTGGTATTGTATACTACACGAGGTTCCTGCAATTCGTTACTTATTTACACGTGGAATAAACGACGACATCGTGTCAGAAGTGAGAATCAGGTCTACATCATTAATAATAAATCACCTTCACTGAAGGTGATGATCTTGGATCAGTTAACTGCCAAATTGATCAGAATGGACCAGAGATGAAGACGGTGATAACTCTAGCTATAGCGTATCATATCTAGCGTAGCAAAACATCTTTGGTGAGAGTTAGATATTTTAAGATTGTATCAATGTTCGAGTTGCTATCACATGAAAACAGTAGTCGCACATTGTTTGCATTTGAAAGACATGGCCAAAAGTTTGCATCACTAAGAGTAAGAGCAACCAAATCAGTAACAGTCTGTGCACCTGTTTAGACATAAGGTTTCAGACAGTAGAAAAGGTGCAGCTGTTTGTAAAAGCTGTTATACAATGTCTGCATTGTAACCACTTTAAAGAGGAAGTTACAGCCACGAGAAAGATGACAGTTTCTGCAGATTGAACTACGATGGACAGATTATTGCCTAGGGACAGAAAGCATGACATAAAGTCAATGAACAGCCTTCATCATCTTGATCTCTTCCTCAACGAATGATCTCTTCCGAACTTCAAACAGGAAGGGGAAACTAGGGGGGTCCGGGGGGCGTTTTTTTTACCGTACCATTAATTAATGCGTAAAATCGCCACCACACCATAGACGGTATTTGGGGTTCTTGTATATATAAGATAGCCGAGTCGGTGTACAGTTAGTGTTGGGCTCGGTACAGGTTGACTGTTTGTACTTGTGTGTGGTCTGCAGTGTATGCCTGGTACGGTAAAAATACACTAGTCGGGTGTTCTGGTCGAACGGGAATTCTTGACGATCGTTTCCCGCTCTGTCAAACTTTTATTGTGGTGGAATTTAATCGGGGCAGAGGTAATTTAAACGGGGCGCAACGATTGAAACAGGGGGGAGTTTTCCCAAACGGGGCGCCCCGTTTGCAACGTAGGGAGAACCCTGCAAGGGTATAGGCCACAAGGAGATCTGGCAGTGGGTATCGGATAGTCCGTGGCGCTTTAGCTGTACCTCAGGTTATTCTCAGTGTGTGGTTTGCATGATGTTCCCAGCCGATTCACAGCAGCAGAAGATGACAGATTTACCCCAATGATTGTTTGGAGCCAGCATATAGTGGTGTTGACTATTTCGGTTATTTTTGTGAAAGGCTGGAACCAGCTAAAGATGTAAGGATTACTCTTTACCTGTATGACATCTACAGTATAACTCATTAGAGTGATTTTTTCATCAGTGCTCTCAGACAGGTTCTAAAGAGATGTCAAGCTGTTCATCAAAGCAAGAGCATCAATTAAATCGTTAAGTTTATCTGCTTGCGGAAGCCAAATCAAACCAGGGTGAACTTAATTGAGGAACCTTCAATGAGTTAACCTGAGGTTTAGTTAGACAAAATTACTGTCAGCATTTTTGAAGCTAAGATTGCTGTATAAATACCACAACTATTTAGCATAAATGTTGTACTTTGGGGGGGGCTCAGTTGAGCTCAGCCCTTTGTTTAGTTTGTTTTATAAATTGCCTCCGAGAGATGGCGCCACCTTCTTTAAATTTACGCCCTGGCCACGTCTGTACAACCTTAGCTCTAGTACGATAGCCCTTCGCTCCGCCGCAGGGCTATAGGGAGAAGGACGGGAAGCGGCAGAGCGAAGGGCTATAGTACTAGAGCTTGCGCAACCTTAGCTTGCCATACGCGATGCAGCCCCCAGCTACAACCCATATTTACTATATGTTCCAGGGGTTTGTTTTATAATAGATTTTCACCTTACACTTCGTTATTTCAGTTCTCTACCTCAGGCAATTGTATACATGTATGTACACTGTGATTATCGAAGATATAATGAGAATTACATGGATATTTCAACACAATAAACACTTTTTCATTATTATTATTATAAAATAAATAAAAGATTTAATGAATAAGATATATTTTTCAGTCTATTTCACAAGCTCCTGTAGGCTATACTTTTCCACCAGGACCTCCACTGTGGACCGGTAAGACCTGTTGAAATAACATAAAGACTGCATGTACAAACCTCGTTGCCACACCATGTGTGCCCTATTCAAACTGCATGCATCCACTTGTAACAGTGTACATGCAAGAACTGGTAAGGTAATTATATTCCAGAGCTCTAATTAAGCATCAAGACTATTAAATAGAAAATGAAATGGCAAAGATGTATGCTACGATTGGGAATAACTCCAAAACCCACCGATCCGTTCCGTTCCTGATGATTTTGAAGAAGCCTTCATGTGAAAGATCGATAACTGTTGAGCCTTGTCTTGAATCCTCTCCCACACTGATTGGTCCACCATCAATTATCAGATCAAGTTTTGGCCACAAGCATTGGAATTCCTGCGAAACACAACCCGATTAACGTAATTAACTTATAGTGATGTATGTTTGCTTTTTTGTCATAATCACAGCACAGTACTACAATACAGGAAGCATAGGTAGTAAGTCTGATTTCACTGGAAACAATAGCTTTTTACATATTCCAAATCTAATTGCACATTATTGGTTTTACTTAGACAACACGTCCATGGTGTAATAACCAACTCTTGTATCTGCATCGCCATATCACAACTAAGAAACCTTCTACACATAATAAATTATAGGTTTAATACATGCTTGAAGTTTAATCAGTGAAATATAGGTAATCATCCATAAATAGTTCAATAGACGAGAACTGACAACAGTCGGAGCTGTTCCGAGGAAATGTTAAGTTCTTGTGGTAAAACGTAACAATAATATCTCCAAACGTTGGCTAATTTTGGCATTTTAGGCCTGTGTATTTCTGCCACTTCTAACTCCCTACAATCACACAAATAAGCTAGATCAAACTAAAACAGCGACACTCACACTTGGTAAAAAGCAACAAAATCCCTAGCTTGCTCATAAAAAAAAGCTATAAAAATAGTCTGCTTTAGGAGCCACGTGACTGTATTTTGTGTGTGTACAGCACACACACAAAATGTACCAGCCAAGTTTACGCGAATTTTTGTTTCTTCTGAGCCCTGTTGTTCATCTGCTGTGGTCAGCAACATTACCTCGAATTCTACCTTTCTCTCCCCATGTGACCCTGCAGGATTGTTCTCGACTGTACTTTGCTCACAGGTCTTTCTGAATCAAGCTTGTACTGCTCTTACCCCTATGTGTTACACTCCAGTACGATGATCCAAATGATCAAGAAATTCTTCACAAAAGATTAGGGACATGATTACCACTACCAAACATTATCTCTGATATCCCAGGATATGATAATTAGGGAATGGGCTAGCAACTTGGGCCACTAATACACCAGTATGTGCATATGAGCTTGACTGGTGACTGTATTCAAGTAACATGCCTTAAGTATCAGCAATCAAATGCAGCACTGCTGTAGAATGACCTAGTAATAGACTTCACTACAGTTGTCACCTCACGCTGTTAAAATAATAACTATATAATCATATTATATTAGTTCCTGGCCCTTTTGTAGCTGCCACTGGCCAGACTGGCACTGGCACACACGTCAGAATATCTTGTTTGATTTTTAAAACGGCAGACACGATGGCATACGTGGTCAGGATGAGGGACAGAGTTGCCTTCTCTATCTTTGACATTAAACTATGACGAAACATTTGGACCTCTTTTATGACTTTTTAGGGCATGGAGTAATTACCACGCATGCTTTCCCATTATGGCAATTTTTTCCCCACGTTTTTCTGTCAGTGGAAAACCTAGAGTGCACGTGCACATGCACACGCAGACGTGTGTATTGTGAATAGAAAAATCTGATAAGCGTTCTTGCTTTTAGAGAAATGTACCTCTACAGAATTGCTACTGGCCTCGTTGCTCAAGTTGGCACTTGTCAGTGCTAGAGGTTCACCACATTCTTGTGCTAGCTGCCTAGCAAACATGTCGTCTGGTACACGCACGCCCACTAGTGCTGATTTCGGATTCAGCTGTGGGTTCAGTAGTGGTGTGCGTTCAAGCACTATAGTCACTGGTCCTGGCAGAAGATCATCCAACAGCTTGCGCGATACTGTAATTTTTGCCCACCTATAAAGTACAACAAAATATACAATTACACTAACTGTAAACTACTTACAATGTTTATATATACTAGCTGAAACCCGCGCTACGCGCGGGCTTAATGACTGTGATGTTTGCACTCTGTGCGGACGACGTAATATTACGTATATTACGTGCTTGTGATCGGACCGCTTGTGACAGATCGGTGTCCACGGCACCCGTACACTGTACAGCATTGCAGAGTTCCAAAAAAAAATCGGCACTGATGAAATTCAACTTGCACATCTCATATGGGAAACTATGGCCAAATAGCTACTGAATATATAACTTCATTATTACATGGTTATTTCTACTTACATTATGAGGCTTACACAAATCTCAGACACACAGACACAGAACAACACGAAATTGAAACCTGTTGAAACAAAACGAAATACCAACAGAACGAAAACAAAACAGCGCCCCCTATTTTCAGGCAAATGTTTACCTTTTTTGTGGTTTTTTTGTCTTTTTCGTGTGAGTTCTGTGTTCTGAAATCAACCCTCAGCTTCATGCGTCCTTCTTGCTCCGATGCTCATAATCAACTCAATGGCGCGTCTCCTATCAGTCCGCTCTTGTGTGAATGTGTTGGCATGCAGCTCGCGACTGATGCAGAGGCAGTAGTTTGTGCGCTGAAGTTTTCCGGTGACAGCTACATTTAGCTTCTTGCCTATGCCACCCATTGCTGACACGGTCAGCAGATCACATATCAGAAGCGGTGCGTCCCTTCAGTTGTGCCATATCAATGCAAGGACAAGGGATCCCATTTTCCTAGGGTTCTGACGATGGAAAACATCTGGGGGAACCCTAACTGTTCGCAGCTTTCCAAAGGTGGGCACGACGCACATGGTGGTTAGAGATTGTCTGTTGTTGGCGGCAGTGACATGACAGCCGCGTGGTTTCCCACGTTTTACGGGTGTATAGATTAGTACGCGAGCATGAGTCAGGAGGTGCTGGCAGTTTTGTCCATTACAATGCTGCAAGAAGTTGCTGCCCACACCGCATCAGGTCCGCTCAGTGACCCTCTCTTATCAACACGTTCAACACCATGCTATCCTTCTTCTGGGCCGATGGGCGGCTTCCTGGGTATGAATGACTTCTTTAAAACTTGGCCGCTAGAACACATGTGGGAGCAGAGTGCATGGGTGCTCTGTTTTTCACCAGTTGTTCGTGCAATAGAGCCATCGATCACTTGCTTAGGAGTCGAGGGTGAAGCTGACAGCTTTATCAAAGACGCGGGTATTATCGTGTTGATCTGATTGGCGCAGCCAATCCCTCATTAGGGATCAATGGATGAGATTGCTGGAATTCGTGTGCCATGGACGTGTGTGTGCTTGTGGCCATTGGGGGTGGTAGAATGTGTAGGTCGAGCTGTCCATATCCAAATATGCATCAGATATGACCCCCCCTTTTTTTCATGCCCCATAGCTGATGGGAGCCGCCCACACTGTTTGGTGCGCTCAATGTTTTTTTTTTCCCTTGAAGCTTTTACGGAACGCAGATGATGATTATAGTGTGCATTGCGCAATTCTTTTATTCAAATTTGAGTTTCGTGATGTGTTGGACTCTTGAAGCCTTAACCAAGTGGTCGGGCGCGTCGTCCATCTTGTGGCAGCCACGTGATGTACTATTGGGACGACTGCGGCAGGCTGGGGACTGTATAGTTACCTCATTATTTGACACAAGTGCTATAGAGACGCCAGTAGGTATGGCTGGTCTGGTAAACGATGTTAGTTGGGTAAAGTTACCAAGATCGTAGAAGAGTTTTGGTCGATTTCGTTAACTTCCGTGCCTCTTTCTGCACTGGGGGATGACCATGATGCGTTACTCTGTGATCAGATAGGCTATTTGTGACGCGTAATAAATTGGCTAAACGATATCCCGTGGTTTCATCTTTGTCGTTGATGATAAACGTATCCGTTGTACGCTTGGAACAATGTCTGTATGGTGGCTATTTTGGTTTACGGAATTCTGCGAATTTCGTCAATTTTGACAAGTTTTCCTGACTTTGACTTAATAGGTTAAACGTGACCTTTAAACTGCGAAAATACATCGAAATGGATTCTTTGAGTCAATCATCACCGTGTAGAAAAGTGAATCTATAACATGATTCTATGTCCATTAGTTAAAAGTTGTATTTTGACCCATATATGTAACCTTGACCCATTATGGTCAGCATTATTTTAATTTGACAACAATGATAATAATATTACTATATAACAATCAATCGGGGGAATCTACCCTTCACGCAACACATAATTTTCAGTTCAGTTAAGATATGATAGTGAAATTGGGTCCCGCAATTTGCAGCGAGTGGCTTGACTTGACTTTATAGGTTGATCTGACCTCTTAATCGCAGAAAGTAACATCAGAAATGGTTCACTGCGTCAACCTATATTAGAAAAGAGCTATCAATGATTCTAGGCCTATTAGTTT